AAAGCGATTTACATCAAATTTGCGCTGAAAATGGCCATCATCTGTCATTTTTTTATAGTTACAAATGATATAATAAAAACCATTTTTATTTCCAGGGATTTACTGTGGCTCTTTTCTACTGCTTCCTTAATACTGAAGTGCAGAACACTTTGCGACATCATATAGAAAATTGGAAAACTAGACGATCTTTAGGACCTAGAGGTTTGCGATCAGGTAGCAGGAGTAAGGATTGGTCTCCTCGGTCAAGGACTGAGAGCATACGGTAAGGTAAATTTATTTTTTCAATATATTTATTAAAATTATGATTTTTTTAATGCCAAAAAATATCTGTATAATCACCGATGCATGGACCAATGTCATTGGTAGGTTTTATTCTAACAAATTATTGAAAAAAAACTTTTTACAATTTTTACATTTATTTTAGTTCCTACACAATTAAAATGTTAGAAGGGATTATTGAAATTGTATACATATTTTTATTATTTATTATAACTATTATTATTTTTTTATTAATTATTATTATTACCCATAGGTGAGCCAGTTGTTAACTATATGGTAACTTCGCCAACAGATAAATTCTTTCTAGAATCGGTGAATACAGGTGCACAGGGCCATACTGGTAAATGGATCGCAGAAGATACAGTATGTCGCTAATGTATGGAATAAATTCATTATTTCTAAAATAATCGACTTTTGAAAAAAATCCAAAAACAGGTCAATTTTAATTTTTGAATCGTCATCACATGATGTAGATGTAACGAACATTACGTCACCAATATTACCGTGGTGACGTAATCGGCAATTTTTTTAAATGCAACCATCCCAGCTAGCACCGGACGTCGTTTCACGTCATAATCACGTTGAATTTTGGTCAAATACGTCGATGTGATTTTTTGACGCAAAAGTAACGTAATAATGACGTCATTTTCGGACCAATTTGACACGTAAACACAGTTGTTGCGAACAAAATAAACCTATTTATGTCATTAATGCACTTCGAGTTTTTGTTATTCATTATTAAATAAATAGAAGGTAATTTATACAACATCGTTTATTTAGCGGTCATTGTGACACCAAAATAAGACGTACTATGACGTTATTTAGGGACTAGTTTGTCACGTTCTGAAATGAAGCGTTAAACTGCGCACGTGTACACGTCCATTCTATAGCTTTATTGTTTTACATTCTATTTATTAATAAAAGTATCTTTAGTGTTTATAATAAATTTATGATTCTCATTTTAAATCTAGGGATTTTTGGGAATTTTCATTTTTAAATGAAATTTTATGTCAACACTGTTTAAAAATGTCAGCTGTCATGTCATTGTCCAGGGTTAGCGGTTCACGCCATTTTGTGTTATTTTTGTAACTTGTCTGCAATATTCTTTTATTGTATGTGTTTTGAAGGTAAGTAGTTAGGAAGTTTAGTGCGATATTATTTTTTATTTTTAGTATGTTTATAGGAATTCAATACGCCGACAAGCACGGCACCGGAGTATCATTAAACCACTTCAAGTTCCAAGTGGCCGACATTCTAGGAAATGAGGTTCTTATAAACAACAAGAATATTTTAACAAGAGCTTAAAAAGGGAGAAAATTGGACTCTTTCCTACTTATAGCAATATTTTACCGAAGGTGAGTGATTTTTTATATTGTAAAGGTACCTGTAGCTAGCCTAATTTTAACTATTAACGTAGACATTAATATAAAGAAAAATTTAAGAATTTTAAAACAAAACCGTTCATAAAGATAATTTAAACATACACATTCCTAAGATTTGAGCATTAAGTTGATTTTTATTTATCTTTACTATGTTAATGTTGATGCCTATGTTATTCTGTATAAACAGGTACATTGAAATAAATTGATAACTTTTATGTTGAAACTAAATCAGGCTGACTAAACTCACCTTTAGACAATTAAAACACTAGTCTATGTATTATTACTAAAACCTTTCCCTTTATGTACTGTGGTTTTAATTACATTGTTTTATGGAATTATTTTGCATTATATACCTTGATATTATATTTTTTGAATTTTTGTTGGTTACTGAGACCTATTATAGTTCGTAAACCATCTCTGTGAGCCGTTTTATTTATTTAAAAAAGTATAGTGTATAAAATTATTAATCTGTTTTAGAGAACTACCAAATAGCTAGCTAAAAAGCAACAAAGATTCTTATGACATAGGATATAACAAGTTATGATGAGTTACAACCTCTTCCTCGTAAAAGAAAGCCATTAAGAAGAATATTTTCAAGTGAAGATGATGAATTCGTTATTGATGACGAACCTATTGGTAGGTAAGCACTGCTTTGTCTAGCAAAACTTATTTTTTATTATGAGTAAAATTCATACTTTTGTGACAATGTTATAAGTACATTTCTTTTATTCCGAACAACATTTTTTTCTTCAAATGTCAATAATTATTTTTCACAATTATTAAAAATCTCACCTTTACATTCAAAATAGCTTCATTTCATTAATTATAAAAAAGTCAGGTTAACCTGGTTTAAAATTCACAATTTTACATCACTTTAAAAATTAGCATCATAAAATTATTATTAAAATATTAGGTTTTTGACCCATGAAGAAATACTAAATTTTGTGTTAGCTGGGAACATCTAGTACTCTTTAGCCAGGCGCATATTAAATTTTTTCATTGATTTCTCTTGACAGATTTGATTTTATTTATCTTGTTTAGCATATAATAATTTATGAACAATCAAATATATCACTTTTGTGACAGCTTAATGATATAAAACAATTTCTGTCTTTTTCGGTCAATGCTAACTCTATTTTTTGGCTCAAATTTTATTTAAATAATTAAGTTTCTGGTAGTTATAACTATTATATTTTTATTTTAGTGCAACGAAAATTTAATAAGGATACCATTGAAGCTGCTTCAAGCCTGTATATTCGGAATGATTTGTTGAATATCTATACACTGCTATATAATCTTTTGTAATTTATACATTCTAAGTACATATTCTAAGAAGTAATGTTTATTTAGTAATAGTTCAGGTTAGTATACTTACTATGTTTCAATTTTATGCAGTAACCTATCTTTTTTTATATAAAACATATTTTTATTAAACATTTTTTAAATAAAACGTTTTTTATAAACATTTTTTTACAAATTAAACATTTTTAAATGAATATTATGGTGTTTTTTTGACGTATAAACACGTTATCTGGTGACGTGTTTATCACGTCACTGTATGACGTCTTTTATCTGTGACATATTGCCGTCATAATCACGTCACTAGCACGTCATAAATTGGTGATTTCGACGTAAAATGTGTCGTGTATTTCACGTGAAAATCACGTGTCTGTGCTAGCTGGGATGTGTCTCAAAACACCTCATTGGAAAGGTCTTCTAATCGTCTTTACAACGATGTAATTATTTGAATATTTATTTCTACAGGGTTTATTTACTAAAATCTTAATCATAAATTCTGATTCACTGAACTAAGTTATTGTAAGGACCGCCACTGGAAATAAAACATCGTAGTGTACCCAAAAAATATTTCTGTATTTTGGATATGTTACTGATAATAGTACTAAATTCTAATTTAACACTAATTGATGTGTATCAGTCAAGTGTTCAATAGTTAAAATCTTTAAATTAGCAGAATTTAGTAATGAAGCTTACAGAAACTGAACGAATCGAAATATTAATGATGATTTGCTATGGAGATAGAGTAAGGACACAGAGAGAAGTTGGCAATTTATTTAATGCTAAATACCCCAATCGTGAACCCATTTCTCAATCAACAATTAGTAAAATCGAGAAAAAGTTTCGAGAAACGGGCCATGTTAAAGATCTCCCCAAAAGTGATAGAAAGTCAATTTCTGAAGACAAAAAAGTTAACGTTTTACTAGAGTTTCAAGAAAGACCCCACACCAGCACGAGACAAGTTGCGCTGGATAATAATTTACACCATTCTACTGTTGCTAGAGTACTGAAAAAGGAGAAGTGGCATGCGTATAAGGTACATTTGGTCCAAGAGCTGTTAGAAGATGACTTTGATAGGAGAATTGAATTCTGTGAAACAATTATGGAACGATCTAACAAAGATCGTAATTTCATAAAAAATATACTTTTTTCGGATGAAGCAACTTTTATGCTCAACGGCCATGTAAACCGCCAGACATATCGATACTGGGCAAGTGAAAATCCCCATTGGATGCAGGAGTATACGACACAATATCCTCAAAAGGTGAATGTTTGGGCTGGCATTATAAATAATCAAATAATAGGGCCATATTTTTTTGAAGGAAACTTGACCGGTCTTCGATATCTTCAATTTCTTCAGGATTATCTATTACCACAATTAAATCAACTATTTCCAAATAGATGTGATTTGTGGTTTCAACAGGATGGGGCACCCCCACATTACGCCTTTGATGTACGAACCTACTTAAATGCTGTTTTTCCAGATAGGTGGATAGGAAGAAGAGGAACGATCGAATGGCCACCAAGGTCGCCAGATATGACACCCTTAGACTTTTTTTATGGGGATACTTGAAGAGCAAAGTTTATCAAAGTCGCCCAAATGATATAGAAGAGTTGAAGGATCGCATCAGAACGGAGATTGCACAAATAACGCCTGAAGTTCTGAAGTTCTCGTAAACGTTAGAGACGAATTTACTGCTCGGCTGTCTCATTGCATTATTGCTGAACGTCATCAGTTTGAACATTTAATATAATTTAATTGTTTTTTACTAAACAGTTTTATGTATTTTAGTAAATAAACAGTTTTGGTCGACCCTGTAGAAATAAATATTCAAATAATTACATCGTTGTAAAGACGATTAGAAGACCTTTCCAATGAGGTGTTTTGAGACACATGGTTGCATTTAAAAAAATTGCCGATTACGTCACCACGGTAATATTGGTGACGTAATGTTCGTTACATCTACATCATGTGATGACGATTCAAAAATTAAAATTGACCTGTTTTTGGATTTTTTTCAAAAGTCGATTATTTTAGAAATAATGAATTTATTCCATACATTAGCGACATACTGTATAAGCCGGGTTATAAATTCGTTCGATTCATCTATTGTAGTAGGCGGTGCTGTCACAGACAATACATCTGCAAATAAAGTTGCATGGAAAATCTTGGAAGAAACATATCCCAATAAGTTTTTTTCCTACGACCACTTAGGAAAGTGACACATATCACACTATATAGACCTATGGAAAGTGCCCTATATCACACGCGTATGAATAAGAATTTAGTTTCCACCCAAGTGAGAATATGCTACTTTCCGCAGTAGCTGTCAGAAAATGTCAAACACATAATTTCTATTTTGATCTATGTAATGTCCATATTAATACTAAAATCGATATGATTGTTAAATTATTGTAAATTAGATCCTAGATATTTATCTTTCACAATTATTTTTAAAATAATTTTAAAATAACTAAGATATATTTGCTTTTTATTCTGGTTAAACACATAAGCGATTAGATCAATCAATTACCGTAAGGCCTGTTAGCTCAGTTGGTTAGAGCATCAACTTTGCAATTTGAGACCGTCCAACGACCGCGATCGAATCCTGGCTGTGCCAGATTTTTTTTTTTTATTTTTTTTTATTTGTTTAGAAATTATGAAAATTTAATAAATACGATTATTGTTGATTATTTTTTTAAATACTTTTTAATTATTATAATAATCTGGTTTTATATTTTTTGATGAAATTATTTTGTGATCGTAGGAAAAATATTGTACATCACTTGTGTGAAAAGTGATTTTCCACACTCGTGTGATAGTCGCACTCGGCTTACGCCTCGTGCGACAATATTTCCCACTCGTGTGAAAAATGTCACTTTCCACACTCGTAATGTAATATACTATTTCCTACGACCACTTAGGAAAGTGACACATATCACACTATATAGTCCTATGGAAAGTGTCCTATATCACACGCGTATGACTAAGAATTTACTTTCCACCCAAGTGAGAATATGTTACTTTCCGCAGTAGTTGTCAAAAAATGTCAAACGCCTAATTTCTATTTTGATCTATGTAATGTCCATATTAATACTAAAATCGATATGATTGTTAAATTATTGAAATTGTTTTAAATTAGATCCTAGATATTTATCTTTAACAATTATTATTAAAATAATTTTAAAATAACTAAGATTATGTTTGCTCTTTAATTTGGGTAAATACATAACCGATTAGATCATTCAATTGACGTAAGGCCCATTAGCTCAGTTGGTTTAGACGTCGAACTTATCAACTTTGCCATTTTTTGACCGCGTTCAATCTATGGTTCAAATCCTGGCGGAGCCGAATTTTTTTTTTGTTTTTTTTTTTATTTTTTATTAGTTTTTTTTGTTTAGAAAATATGAAAATTGAATAAATACGATTATTGTTGATTATTTTTTTAAATACATTTTAATTAATATAGTAATAATAACCTTGGTTTTACATTTTTTTGATATTATTTTGTAAGCTAATTTCTATTTTGATCTATGTAATATCCATATTAATACTAAAATCGATATGATTGTTAAATTATTGAAATTGTTGTAAATTAGATCCTAGATATTTATCTTTAACAATTATTATTAAAATAATTTTAAAATAAAGTTTGCTCTTTATTTTGGTTAAATACATAACCGATTAGATCATTCAATTGACACAAGGGCTGTTAGCTCAGCTGGTTAGGACGTCGAACTTATCAATTTTGCCATTTTTCGACCGCGTTCAATCTATGGTTCAAATCCTGTTGGGGCAGAATTTTTTTTTTGTTTTTTTTTATTTTTTTTTATTTTTTTTTTATTTTTTTTTAGTTTTTTTTGTTTAGAAAATATGAAAATTGAATAAATACGATTATTGTTGATTATTTTTTTAAATACATTTTAATTATTATAATAATCTGGTTTTACATTTTTTGATGAAATTATTTTGTGGTCGTAGGAAAAATATTGTACATCACTTGTGTGAAAAGTGATTTTCCACACTCGTGTGATAGTCGCACTCGGCTTACGCCTCGTGCGACAATATTTCCCACTCGTGTGAAAAATGTCACTTTCCACACTCGTAATGTAATATACTAATTCATGGATGTGTTTGCCACTGCCTCAACTTATTGGTAAAGGATATTTTTGGAGATGATACTCAGTAAAGATTATTAAAAAATAAGTAGCATTTGTGTAAGCGAACTTTTTTTTTCAGATCTGTTAATTCTCCTTTGGGCAAGCTACCAGTCTTCGTCAATGAGTGCAAAAATATTGTTGTTTTTTTTAAAAACCATCACGCACTTAATCATACTTTAAAGGAAGCATAAAAAGAAAAACGGGTTCCTAGTGTAAGTGATTTTTTAAAATAGATTTTAATTGTTAAAAATATATTTTAATTATTTACAGTTAGTCCAACCAGCAAAAACAAGATGGGGCACAATATTTGCTTGTTTCGAAACTATTTTGAAGAGCGAAGAAATAATTCATAGAATAGTCCACCAAAGAGAGTTTGTAACTGCACCTCACAATCAAAAAGAAACAAGACAGGCAATTAAAAATACGATTTCAAGTGAAGACTTTGTTGCCAATTTAAAAAAGGCAATTTTTATATTGGAGCCTATTAAGAGCGATATCCATGCGACAGCAAATTCAGGTTTAGAACACACTGACAACTTTCAGTGCATCTGAACGCACTTTGGCAACGTTGCTCTATTCCCAGACTTACGCTCCCTTCAATTCATTACTTATATGATTTAAAATATAAAAAAGGCCGATAAATCGCAGGTCCGGTCTAACAAAGAGTATTTCTGTTTTGTTTTCTCGTTTAAAATATTTTTTTATAGGTATAACCTGGTGTAAGATTATCGAAACTCTTTTTTTCTAACTAAATAATTTATTTACGATATATATTTTTAAATAAACATATGTATTTCCTATGATTATTTCGAAGACATATCTAAAAAGTACCTATTTCTATGTTTGCCGAAGTTATTATATATAAAAAAACATAGATCCAAAAAGTCAGTGGCGCAGTATTTTTTTTATTAAAAAAAGTGACATTCTCGCACAAACGCCACTGGTGCAAGTAAAAATATTTGGAACACCCCAAAAAATACACATTTGTCCCTTCAAAGTTTTTTTGCAAATTTAGAGTAAAAAAACTATTTAAAATAATTAATAAAATTTAATAAATTAAAATTTAAACATTCTGTATCCCGGAAACGAAGCATATTTCGACCTACTTTTATAGGAACTTTTTTTAACAAAATAACTTTGATAACAATTTGCAAAAATCTTTCGTACTTATTTACAAATACCCTGTATAAAAATACGTTTTTTAAATAATAATCCATTTAATACTAGTTTGTGCAACAACAGTGGACAAACTGGAGTTGTACAGTATTTTTTTTCTACGACCCACTAAACGAAAATCTACAAATTTAAAGTATTATTTTAGGAAAAGACAAAATAGCTAATTTTAATAGTTATTTATGCAACAAGTGCAAAAAGTAAGTGTTTATTGCACGCGACGTGAAATTGTCGAGTACAAAAAACACTTTTTGCACGAGTTGCATACAATATTTTTTCTACGTTCATGCAAAAACCAAAGAATGTTTTATAGAACTGCAGTTGTATTATCCAAATCATAGTAGCTGTGATCGTGTACCTTTGAGGCATTTATTAACGTTTCTTTATTACATTTTTATTAAAATACATTTTTTTATTAATTTACTTATTAAATGATTGAAAATAATATAAAATATGCAATTGTTTTTAAAACGTAACACAGAAAATAAAAATGGACTAAATATTTGGCATTGATTTGAATATTTATGTTTGTCGTGATCATAAAACGCTGTAGTAAAATGACAGATGAGGGCAATAAAATTTTTATTGCACTAGTGCAATAAAGAACCAGTTTTTTCATTAAATATAGTTCAATGAAGTTTTGTTTTTTGCATGAACGTAGAAAAAATAATTTATGACTTTACTAATTTGTGAAATAAAATAAACTTGAAAAAATATTTCATTTAATTAGTCCCCCGCCCAGGTTTGAACTCGGGCCTCTCGCATGAAAGACAGATGCCGTATCCTCATTTTCACCTCTGCATTTGGAATTTTAGTTCTAATAGTAATTAAATTAGTTTCATATAGGTAGTTTGATTCAAATTTAAGATTTTTTTAAAATGTGGTCCAAATAAAAATAAATTAAAATTATTTATGGATTCTACACAAAAATAACTCATTTTAAATATTTTAATGTATATTTAATCTCAATACCTATAAAATATACTAACAATTAGTTTGACAGAATTGTCACTTATTTAAAATTTTTAAAATAATAGTAGTTGGGTGTCTAATAAACTGTGATTGGTGGAGTTCATTTTTTTTGCAGTGTTCTCACTACCTAAAATGGATATAAAATATATTCGTTGAGTTGAACGCAATAGTATATTTTTTCGTTTTGTAGTCTGTGCGTGAATAGTAGTTTGTGCAACAAAATTGGATATGATGGCCATATCGCACGAAGACGAAGTTTAAGAACGACGCCGTAGACAGAGTGGTTAATCGTCTGAGTGTGATACGGACAATCCACTCGAGTTATACAGTATATTTTTTCTACGACACACTAACGAAATTCTACAAATTTAAAAAAGTATGTTATTAAGACAAAATAAATAATTTTAAAATAATGTATGACTTTTACTAATTTATAAAATAAAATAAACATACAAAGAGATTTAATTTAATTAGTCCCCAGCCCTGATTTAAACTCGGGCTTCTCGCTTGGAGACAAACTCCGTGCCCTCACGCCATCGCCACACTTGCCATTTTAATTCTAATACTTGTAATTAAATTAGTTTCATATGGTTTGATTAAAATTTAAGATTTGTTTGTAAATTTGGACGAAATAAAAATAGAAATGCTATTACCTATCGATTATACATAAGAAATATTCATTTTTACGTATTGTAACGATAGTCTAATTTCTTTTATAGTTTATTTATGTATTTAAAACACACTATTTACAATGTATTTCAGACGTACTAATTAATTTATATAATACTTAGACACTGACTAACAATTCTAATTTATTTATTACAATTTAACTTTTCATTCCAATACTCTGTACTAAACTAAACTGCCCGACGATGAGTCGGGCTATTTATATTAAGTCCAACTCTGCTACTAGAAGTCTCTAGACGGTCTCGAAAATTCCATCTCTGACTCAACGGCACACTCTGCCTGTTCTACCCGTTTCTCGAGCCTCAGCGGCATTCCCAGAACATTCCGTCGCCTCGAGCATGAGTCGGGGCCAGCTGAAGGTCGCACCTGCTTTAGACACAGGGTCGGATTAGGAATTTCATGACAGTATATTGAATCTCAATAATTCAAAAATATACTGACAGTTAGTTTGACAGAATTGTTACTTACATAAAATTGAAAAAATAATAGTAACCGGGTGACCAAAATATAAACTGATTGGTGGATTTAACTGTTTTGTAGTGTTCTTACTAGGTAGAATGGATATGAAATATATTCGTTCAGTTGAACGCAATGGAATACTTTTTGTTTTGTAGTATGTGCGTAGATTAGCTAATAACTATGTGGGTATAGGAAAAATCATATCCATGAGGGTGTAGAAAATAGTAGTTTGTGTAACGAGAGTGAATATAAATTAAATGGATTTCATATTAAAATTTATATTTATTTATTTCTAAATATAGATCAAATAAAAATAGAAATGCTATTATTAATCGATTCTACACAAGTATAACTCATTTTACGCAATAGCATATTTCTTCGTTTTGTAGTCTGTACGTAGATAAGCTAATATCCATTTGGGTGTAGAAAAAATTGTTTTCTAGTACTAAAAATGTATAAAAATAACATTAAGTAAAATGATTTATTATTAGTAAAAGAAGAAATTTAAATAAATCATCTATTGACTATTGGTCGAATTTCTACTCGGTTTTCTACTGGGATTTCTAAAATCCAAACCTCTAGCGAAACGTGTAGTATACAATCTAAATAAAATTGCTTTAGTTTGCTTTCCATATACACCAAAATCTATCATCTTTTTTTATTTTTTCTACAAACATACCTAAAGGTATCAAAATAATAAAAAAACAAATATTTGGTTTAGTGAAGTTGCCCCTGAACCTGGTAATAATAACAATTATGATTTCGGTTTAATTGCATTTTGCCATTATCATTAATAATTGCAAATTTTATTATGTTGCAAACCATTGATTTTTCCGTAGTCAGTTTTGAAGCAAGATATTTAATTTCGATAATACTGTCGGTTCCTAATAAACCGTCGGGACCTAAAAAACCAAATTCAGAATCCTCAAATAAACCACATTTATTGGACATCCGCTTTAAATTTGTGAATATTGCTTTAAAGCTACAGGTTATTTTTCTGTTCCATACTATATTAATTTCCCATATATTTTGACGTTTATGCTTAGACGGGCTGGAACTGAACTGGACTGGAATAAGAGGTGATAGTGTGTGTCTTTTTCTAAGTAATCTTGCACGATATTTTATAGATTTCCGTCGAAATGAAAATATCATTTTCGGCATTTCCGAAAGTTTTCCGATTTTTACGACAAACTATTATAACTCAGCTTACACACAAAAGTTCATATAAACGCATTAACTAAATACGAAACGAAAACACCGTCACTTGAATTAAAAAGAGTAAAGTTTTTTTAATAATTTCATCCTAAGCGACTTAAATGACTATCTAAATACTTTTATCCTAATTTTCCGGTACTGCATGCACCGCCAACGTCCGCCGCCTTGTTGCCAAATCAATTAATATGGATTTGAATCTGGACAGATTTTCTCAGATTTCGTAATTCAAGGTTTTCAAAAAATATACGCATTAAACAAAAAAGTGCATTGGAAAGAATTAGCTAATTTTTATATAACAATTCCCGGTAAAGACTCCTTTTTGCAATAATTTTCATAATTTGTATAGAAAAAATTAAAAAATAAGTTTTTCTGAATTCGGGCTCTACAGCGGGGCTCTCTATCATTTGCTTAGTAGGTATACAAAATTTTATAAATAAATATTTAAAACTGAGAAAGAGAACCTTGAAGTCGTTTTAAGCCAGTTTCTAACCATGGATATCGCTCTTAATATTTTAATAAAAAAATTTCAAGGAGACAATGTTCCCATTTCAGAGGTATATGCTGATTTTGTAGATCTACCAAAAAAATTTGATTGTGAAGATGCAGGTACACATCTTTTAATTGGAGAGGCGAAATTTATAAAGGATAACATTAGGGTAATTTTTTATATTATATTTACTAAAAT